TTAAAAAATTAACAGTTACAACAATCTGTATGAAGTGCTGGCTTATTCTTTGCCATGCATCCCCCAAATGCAATTCTACTCAGCTCAAGTCTCCAGATGCCAGGGTGGGTTGGTGACAGCATAGAATGGAGAAACGGCTCTACAGGGAGCATCACAACAACACAGGCCATGCCACCATCATCATCACTTGTCATAATTATTATAAATCTTCCTAGTAATTTGTGACCTAAGAGAGCATAGCCAACTGCAGTGGGCATTGGGAATGCCTTGGGAATTGCATTGGAAATGTCTGCTGTAATTTCCAGATGTACCCGGGGCCTGGGTTGAGGTCTTGTCCCCAGTGAAGTCAGTGGGGAATTTTGCCAGGATTTCACATGCATGTGTAACAATTTGCCCTTCCATAGAAATCACAAAATCACTGCTGTCCAGTGTATTGGTGAATTGTGCACCACAAATCTGCACACATTTCTACTTTCTCCTTCCATTTTCATGGTAGTTCCTTAACATTATACTGGACAGGAAGTGGGCACATCTATTCTACTAATGTATTCTCAAACCCCAGATATTTCATACAGCTCAGCTTCTGCTTCTCTTCTACAAGAAATGCAGCTGTAGTGTAAAAAATAGTACGTTCGCTGTTTTTTGGTTTGATAAACGAAGTCCCTTTAGCTAGCCTGTTGTATCTGAGGTGAAAGCTTTCAGGTTTAGATGAACAACATATTAACATTTCCATGGAGAGGGGAGAGAAATGGGGGTCAGATTCTTCCAATTGGATTTTTTTTTTCCCCGCACCATTTTTTCAGCATGCTAAAGAGCTGCATCTACTGTGGGGAAAGAAATAAGACATTTCTTGCCTCCTTCCTGTTCCCCCACCTCCCCCCAACTTTCTTTTGGCCAGAAGATTATATAAACAGTTAGTTGTTACAGAACTTCTCTTCCTGCTGATAGAGTCCCTCTCAACTTACTTGGTTGCTCTGAAAACAAACTTAAAAAATGAATAAATCTATTTTGTGACCATCAAGTTTGGGAACTGGGGTTTTTATACACATGCTCTGGGAGTAGGGGGGATGCTTTAATTAGAGCAGTTCTCAGAGCCACTCTAATTTAAGCACCCAGAGTCACGTGTATCAGTGTGCCCACACTGAAAAATGGCGGCGGGGGTACTTTTAACTAAAGCTCAGCAAAGAGCTTTAGTTAAAGTATCCCCACTATGGTTTTTCAGTGTGGGCACACTGATGCACGTGATGCTGGAGTCTGTTGCTGGAGCGTGGTAATTACTGTGCTCCAGATTCAATTAATAGTCTGATCTGACGTGCTGTAATTGCAACATGTCGGAGCAGCATCACTGCACGTCTGTAGGCATCCTGTGATCTCAAGTTTACCGCTAATCTCTGCAGATATTACTAACTTCCCTTTCAGCTCGTATCATTATTTCTCTTTCTTTTAACCAATCTTTCTTCCTCAAACAAATGCTGCAAACCCCTCAAACAATAGACTCTACTTTGGCACATATCCCACTCCAGAGTCTAATGTTTCTTCTCTTGTCTGCTTGCCGTTTAGAGAGAGGCTTGGGTGCCAAGCATGGGGGATGGCCTCTTTTTTTTTTTTTTTTCCTTTAATTTTTTTTTTAAGGCTTTGAAAGAACATTACTATTGGTTATACTAGAGATGGCAATCTGTGGCACAGGCAGTTTCTGTGTGTGGCACACTGAAGATCAGGGATAGGACAAAGTGCAGCACAGATAGGATGGGAAACAGAAAATGGAGCAGCAGATAAGGTAGGGAACTTAAGGCAGGAAGCAAAAACCAGAGCAGCAGATCAGGCAGGGCAAGGGAATTGGAGCAGCACTTGAGGAGGTGTAAGACTATCTTGTGGCATGTGTGCAATCAGGTTGGTCCCTTAGTTGAAGCTGCTGTTTTAATTGAAAAAATGAACACTAAAAATAAAATATTTTGTTTTAAAGGTGTTGGAATGGGTGGAGTAGGTTAATACTCTGTTCTGACACTGAGTGCTTCTGTTGCAAGAATACCCCTTTTATGGAACTCTGGTTTTTGTCTTCTACCACAAAGTAGACCTCAAAGAGGCCTCTTCTGTACCCGTGTCATCTGCAATTTAGTGTTCTAACAATTGCATCAATAACCTTGGAACAAGTTATTGCAAGATCCAATTTAAATATAGGAAGCATGACAACTGTACTGCAAGACATCCTGTACCGAATAAAGCCCTCTTCTGTCATTATGACTCGAACGTGTTATTTCAATTGGCTTCTCTGGCATTAGAAGTGCTTTGCATATTGAGTTTGCACAAGAACCTTATTTTAACTTGTGGTCTGCCTTGTGTGGGGCACAGGGAAGATCAGAAATGGGGCATTACTCTGCCTTGGTCAAAGCTGTGTAGCACATATTGAGCCAAATTTGTAATAAATTGTGAATAGTTGAGCTTCTATTTTAAGTCAACAGAAAGAATCCCACTCACTTCTAGCAGAGCTGATAGCCCTAGTGGCATGTCTGTATAGCACAAAGCTGGGCTGTATCAATAAATCTTGGTTATCTAGGGCACACCACCATTGCTGTTATCTTGGTGCAAGCTCAGTGCAGTTGTGAATGTGCTGCCAAGGAAAAACAATTCCCTCCGCACAAACAATGATTGGTTTCTCTACCTCTGTCTCTTTTGTAGGAGGTGAATATTTATTAACAAATTAAATAGACTATGGAAAGCAATAGTTTTCTTTTAAGCTAGCAACAAGATGGATTTAGATTTTTTTAAAATCATTTATATTGTTCAACGTAATATTTAATTCAGTGCTTTTTTGACTGCAGAACTATAAACTATGTAAGAACATGTTCTTTAAACCAACTCTACTTTCCCCAAACTAACGCTACAAAACTGTCTAACAACAGGCCCTTCCCTTTGAGATATATCCCACTTAAGTCCTCAAGGCACTCTGCTATTTAGAGGCAGATTTGCATGTTGAGAAGGAGAAGAATATGTTTCTTTTAGCTGAGAATCCCTATTACGTACTTCAGTTATCTCACCTGGACTGTGGATGGGGCCAGAGGACTCTGGTTACATAGTAATGGCTCTCCTCCTCCTTTTTTTTCTTTTTCCTTCACCTCTGAAAGAGGCATTACAGCTACTCCAAAAACATCTTAGTTGCTTCAGGCTGTTATCAGAGTATGACTAGGAGGAGAGAGAGCCCAAGTGATCAAATTAAGAAGAGAGGCTATTTGCAAAATTCTTCAGGTGTGATTGTCCAAAATCCTGGTCATTAAGCCTAGCCCTGTTCTGATTGGTATCAGTGCTGAGTGTTTTGGTACATTCTACTCCTCTCTCTACTGTGAGTCAAATTATTTTTAAAAATACTGAGAATTTTAACCTAAAGCATCTTTCAATAAATTATAGAGTAGTTCAACTTTGTATACAAATATTGTAATGGTTCTACAAATAGCTACTCTTCGAAATCCATTTATATAGAAAATATAATGGTGTTTGTCATGAAGTGGCATTGCGTGCATACTAGCAGAAGTGTAGGATTTTTTTGTCTTGTTTGTTTGTTAGTAACTGGTTCCTTGTTACTTGGAAGGAAATTACCTTAATTTTGTGATTTGGTATTTTCCCTGCTCTTTGAACAAACATAACTACAAATTATAGGTGTGCTTAAAATGCCCTGTTTACATTCCTGAAATAGATTAATATAAATATTTTGGTGGTTTTGGTCAGTGTAGTCAAATATGGCTTCTTAAACCTGAGTACTTGCATCTATATTACACACTTCAAATGTGCTCAGGTTTTCAGATGTTCTATGCACCCTGTCAGGTGTAAGTGAATGGGAACAGCAGGTGGTTGGCACCTCTAAAGTTCCTGCCATTTAACCACTTAATTCTAAACATTCCATTTTGAAAATTAGTATCTCAGTCTGTGAGGTGTTTCTCTTCTTTGCACAGCTACCCTAAACTAGAATACCACAAGATTTTATTGCAACTTACAATTTAAATATTATCCCAGTGGTATGTCACACCTGCATAATTGCTTTTAGCTTTACTTAAGCATCAGGAGCTGGGTCTAAACATGCACTTTACTCTGGAGTAGACTAACTAGTTAGGAAGTAAAGTGTCACTGTATACACATGTGATAGTATTAATAAGGCAACAGTAAATTAATAAACTCCGCCATAAGATAGTACCCTCATAGTACTGTCTTATGACGGGGTATCTTACTGTGATTTAAAGGCACATGTAGATGCTGACTGTAGGCATAAAATGCACCCAATCAGCCCAGCCAGCAAGGGGCTAGACTCCTGCCTGCCGCCTAGCCACCATGCTCTGCACTTTCAGCACGCTTGTGCCCCAGCCAGCCCCTCCATTGTCCCATGCTGTCACCTGGAGCCCAGGGCTGAGCAGCCCTGACATAAGTTGCTCCACCCCTGTTCAAATTGCTGCTCTCCTGGACAAGTGTGTAGGTGCTGCACCCAGGAGTAGTTTACTCCAGTTGAAACTGCTCTTGAGTTTATTGCTTTGAATTTATTGCATGTGTAGATGCCCCGAGGAACTCTTAAATGGATCTCTCCATTGTAAATTGTAATAGTAATCTTCCTCCCCATTCAAACTGGATCTTCAAAAACATCTAACACTAGTAAAAAGATGCAAATAAAAGTTACAAAACAAGACAGATAGTTGTCCAGTGCAGTTTAGCTGTCTTTCCCCCTCCTTATCACAAGATGAAACATAAGGAGGTGCATTTTTCAGTTTCAAGTAACTTTATTTCTGTGTGTATATTGTATCAGTCTATAATAGATAAATAATCAGGTTGTGCTTGCAGGTCTCTGAAATGGTCTCTGTTTACTAAGGTGTCGTCAGAGCTTGTAGCTAAAAAGATTAACTTGAGAGTATTAATGGTAGGGGCAAATCATCACAGAAACTTAACTCACTTTTCCCTCCCTGTTTTCTTCTTTTTTTTCTGTGGACAGGTGGCTAATGATCTATCTGTTCTAAATGTTTCAGGTGAGAAACCATACAAATGCACATGGGAAGGCTGTGACTGGCGATTTGCTCGCTCTGATGAATTGACACGCCACTACAGGAAGCACACGGGGGCAAAACCATTCCAGTGTGCTGTGTGCAATCGGAGCTTCTCTCGCTCGGATCACCTGGCTCTGCACATGAAGAGACATCAGAACTGAAAGCTGGACTTGTCCTTGAGGCTGTTTGTAGCTATGCAATTTCCTGTTGACTGTCAATATACAGCTAGAATTAGTTTAACTTTTGACTATGGACGATCCATAAAAAAAACTCAAGGAAACTGGAAATGTATATTTTGTATATTTATGAGGAAACAGGGAAGACACTGTATCAAAATACCAGAGTGTTCACTCATTTTGTTTGCTCTCATAACGTATATGGCTTTCGTCAGCAGGTTTCATCTCATTACAAGTATTATGTCTTGACACATTGCATCATTTAACATTATTTTATCTTGCAGTGTTTTGACCCAAAACACTGTTGTTATTGTGGCAATGTTTAGTAAATGAATTAATGAGAGGTGGCTGATGAATGAAAGTAGATGACAAGCCATGAATTGCAATCTGTCAGGTTTTTACTAGATATATTTAGTACTCATTTTTTTTAATGTTATGTCTTTCTGTGGAGATAAAATATGTAGAAAAATTCATACACAGCCATAGAACAACATGTTTGTTCTCTGTTGCATGTTTGCTATGACAAAGATTTTGTAAATATGCAAATCAGCTTTTTAGGTTTGTTACAAAAGTTTTCTAGGAATGGTCTGAAAAAAGTCACTTTACATTTGATAAGAACATGGCACACTTACAAATACATTTTATTTAAATACCTCTCAAAACATTTCCAACTTATCTTTTTAAGAGAAACAAGCTGCCCATTCAGACATTTTGTACTTGCTAACAAATGTTGTGCACTGAATATTTGAAACATGATGGTGTTTTCAAAGTGCTTAAAAGAGCAAAACACTAAATAAATACCAAAAGGTTAAATTAATGAGGACAGTTATAACATACAGAATGCTAAACCTCTTACTATAAGCTAAACTTAGTATCACTTTTTAAAAAGAAGGATTTAGGATGTAATTTTCATAGACAGACATGGTAAGCTTGTTCAGCTCCAATATGATCTAGTTTCACGTGGGTATTTCATGTACTTTATCAGGAGGTAAAGGATACAGTAATTTTATTTAAAATTACAGTGCCATTCAGTTAATCCGCTGCGCACACTGACAGAGACGAGGTAAAATTCCCTGTTGACATAAATAGATGCCACTTCATTGAAGCCAATGGCGTTCTGTCTTTTTATGTCAGCAGTGAGTCTGATCCATAGTTCTGCCTTGCAATAGTAAATGAAGGGCCAAAAATGTGGTTACACTGTGCAGTATTTGGCCAGACCAAAAAATACAACTCATACACATCTGCAATTCACAAGCTGTGATATCCAGCTGTCAACCAAAGGGTAGAATAAACAACCAAAATGCCAAAAAGGGGTCTCAAAAAAACATATAGCTTTGTTTAAACTGTTGTTTGTCTTTATTTATTTTGTGGTGTATGGTAGACTTTTTAAAGACAATTTTACATACAGTTGATAAGTTATAGTTTTGTTTGTCATAGCTAGAAATGTTGCTCTTAAATGTAAATAGTTGATAAATGATGTAAATAATTTTGTAAGGCTTCAAATGTTTATACATGGAAACACATGCATAAATTGGTTGCTGTTTCGCTTCTTTTTGCCTCCCCCACCTTATTTTTGTATTGTGGTATTTCCTATGCAAATAATGGAGCAAACAGCTGTATAGTTGTAGAATGTTTTGAGAGAGAATGAAATGGTTTATATATAAAAGACAATTTTTTGAAAAATAAAACAAAGTGCCTAAAATGTGTGTGTGTGTTCTCTGTAGCTCCTTAGAATGAAATGCTTGTGGTTTTGCATTTTGATGTCCAATTCATAACATATTTTTTGGGACAATTCTGTGTGTTCTTCATGATGGGGACTGTCACTTTCTACTTGGAAAGTACCTAGCCCTTTTTAGTTTCTACCACAGTCAAAATTAGTGACCTTTTTATGGAGTCATTCTGCTATCCAAACACTGACTCTTAGATCTGTTATTCAGCCGACTTAATAAATGGAATTAAAGGATTTGTTTGCTTGTGATAGTAAGGCACTGGACTCAGTGACCCAGGTGGTCCCTTTTGGTCCTATATTCTTATATCAAATGATGTGGAAGCTATAAACTGTCCTTTAGGCTAAGTATAGACTGTCAAAAAGCCTGAGGTTGAATTGATTCAATCTTTGTAGGTTAGTCTAAGCTGTGTAGATTGAACTGATAAGCAAGTAAACAGTCATTCATTTTTGATTCCTGAAATACAGCTACATGTCTGTAGTGGCCCAGACCAGAAGTCGGGGCACTAGAGCATGGCTCCCTGCTTGGCTGGAGCAGGCAGCTTGGGCCAAGGCTAGCTTACCCACTCTGCGCGGTGGGAAGGGTGCTACGGGGGAGATGCACAACATCCTGTGATGCTGGGGGACAGTGAGTTAACTTGAATCTGGAAAGGATCTGGGAAAAACGTTCCTTAAACCTATCTGACCTAAATCAGTTGTGCGATACTACAACCATCCACGTGCATCTTAAACCAGTTTTGGCCCTTTTACAAGTGGTTTATGTACACTAAACTTCTGTTGTGTTATAGATTTGAACCAGTTTCTGATCACTTATACCGATTTATATGTAATTTCTGTTCCTAGCCCTGCAGTGTTGCCTCCGTTTCAGGATCCTTTCCACTGAAGGAGAGAGGCTAACATACAAAACAAAATATTCAACTTTCAGAACTGGAAGGGGAATAAGGACAATCCTTTTTAAGGATTTAAGATCTGTAGATCTGACCTGTAGAACTTGAATTTGCAAGTTCTTGCTTACAGAAGCAATAATTAGTTGTGCCTGTGGAATGTTAAGGTTGAATCCTGGATTGCTCATACCAGTTGAATCCTGGATTACATTAAGGTTGAATTGTGGGTTGCGCATACCAGAACTTGGATCCTGGATTGCTCATACCAGTAAATCCTAGACCTCGCATCTTAACTTTTTTTTCACTCTTACCTTCCACAATACTTATATCTAAGCCTATCCATGCCACCAAATCAAACCCTTGAAGAGCAAAACCCTAAAAAGTTGACATTACTAATTAGGACTAATGAAGAAATTGGACAGTATAATTCTGTACAACTCCAAGGACTGACTTATAAGATAATCTTTTTGATGAATAAGGAATCATCACTGCAAAATATACTAATGGATCAAAAAGGGGGCATTTTTGGAGGGGAAATTGATAATGGAGTCAGGTATGTAAACAGATGTCTACTGTAAATGAAACAGAATTACGTTATCTTTTTGTTGCCCTGAATGCAGAAAAAAATGAAGTAGCTGTTTTTTTTGCTCATGGTTACATGCTTCTCTGTCAGCACTGAACCCAAAAAGCACTCCTTCAGGTTTTGCCAGGGGCCCGTTACCAATGTTTGGTGGCATTGGGTCCTATGACTTCTACTCAACCTGCATTTTTGTTTCGGTAACGTGTTTACAGAAAAAACTTGGTTTCTTCACATTTATCATGAATGAAAAGTGGCTGTTACACTCATTAACATCAACAGCAATTAACCTAAACCAAACCATAACATATGCTTGCTGGAACCAGGAATGATGCAGTATAACAAGACCAAAGTACTTCAGCTTTTTGTTTTTACTGCAATATTGTATGTTCACCATGCATGATAACAAGACAGCTGTATCAGTGATGTTTTGCTGATTCCTTTGCTTAAAGGTGTAATAATGCTCTTCCGCGTAAATAACAGAATGGCTAACTTGGTCCCAGGAATTCATGAAAGGATTAGTCTCATAACTGCCATCTGGTTGATTTAAAATGCCAAGTAAAAGCAGCAAAGCACTCAAAAACGCAAAAGGTGTGTGCTCACAAATCACCCCTCTTATAAAAAGATGTTTCCAGTGAGGTTTTGCTATATGTGCTATATTGAATAATGCCAGCCTGCCATTTCAACTGTATGGCATCGATTAGGGAAGTGATTGGTCCCTATGAATAGCAGAAGCACACTAATAGGTGTGTTATTAGAAAATTGACTAAGCCTACTACATTTCTGTTTGCTGTTTTCCTTCCCCATCATTTATTAGGAACTGTTGTCATCTGCCATGTGTTTGACACCTACTCTGTTGCTACTAATAGAGGTTTGGGATTTGGAAGCTACTGGAGAGCACACTAATAATAAAAGTCTGTCTAAGGGAAAGTGAAGTTTTCCAACTCTGCTGTTTAAAAAATACTGACCATTATGATTTGGGACATGCTTGTTACCTGTTTAAATGTTCCACACACTTGTGTTGAATCACAGAGCTGTTGATTTCAGTTTTGTGACAAGGAGTTCCCCATTGACTACAATTGCAAGTCCTCAGTTTCCAGTGGGCCTGACAGCAGCCACTGCAGATAAGCCTGAAACAAATTTCCTGGCAACTTTTCTCTGGGTACCTGAGAATCTTCCAGTTTTTGGGGCACATCAGTGGGCATGGATAGGCAAGGCAGTCGAGGAGTGCTCAACCCTGTCCTCTCTGGACCCACTCCTGCTATTGTGTAGACAAGCCCAAAGGTGGGTTGTCAAAACACAGCTCCTCTCCCTTTATCTCTACTTCTGCTAAGCCTCAGCTTGGCATTGTTCTGGACTGCACCTAGCCATAGCCTAAATTCTCCTTGGCTCCTACAGCTCCATTTTAAAACTATGTTTGCTTTCAGATCTCACAAAACTCCATGCCTGCCATCATGGAGGCATGACTGCCCCAATCCCTGATGCATTGCTGCTCCACATAGACACCCCTCTGCCAAGGTGATTCCCCAGAGCCTGCTTGTTCATCATGACCTCCTCTGTATGTCCTGACTCACCAGCACAGCCCTCTACTCCACAAATGTGTTCTGTGTTGAATAATGATAATTATCAGTCTTGAACAGTGAAATCAAAATATTGTGAGAGAATGACCATGTTGACACTGGGGAAGCTGGGAACTGTAACCTGCTCTGGAAGGAGTTTTTGGTTTATTTTGGATTATGTTTTGTTATTCTGCTGCCCTGTGTAATTTATCCTAATTTCTAACCATCTGGTGCCTAAGGAACCACTGACCTGCTGAAAGGGTGGCGCACCATCATAGGTTCAAAATATAATCCTTAGAAAGAAACTTCCTTCTATTTGCTTCTCTTTATGAACCAAACAATCACAGCGCTTGCTCTCTGCTTCTGCTTTCTCTGCTGCTTTTCCTGGCTGCATTGTACCAGCTGTGACAAACTTCCTCTTTTCTGTAAGTACAGTGCTTGTGTTGGGGCAAGCTATAACTATGCACATGCTCTATGCCAATTTAATTTTGCTAGCATGGGTCCCAAAGAGCTGAATATAGAGCCCTTCCTTTCCCATGGGACTGACCAAAGGCATGTGATGCCAAGGGGGATTCTCATACTTCTGAGGCAACAGCTCAAAAATGTTCAGCTGTTCAGTATACAGTCATGGGGTTTTCAACTACCCTTTTTATTCTATTTTCCATCTAACTCCCTTTTTGTCAGCTGAGTCAGTTTAATAGCCTCAGCCGCAGGAAGCTCTAGGACCATATCATCTGTCTCTTTCCCAGAAATGAAGAGAATTGTGTTGGCTGATAAGCCATTCCAAACAGTTGCCTAAAAGCCATTTTCCTTACCTGTCTTTTTACACTTACAGCATTTCTTTTTTGTACTTTTCTTGTTTTAGCAGTTATTATGATTGTGGTTTGTCAGTATTTTTAACACTAAGGCCTGGGTCACTGTGGTAGGGCGCGACCTGGGAGTCCATGACCTCCCCTCGTGCCCCTGCCGGACCGTGCCAGATTAGGTTTCCTAATGCACCCTCAATCGCTCACCCGCCATGTCTTTGATGTTTGGTTCATTGAAGGGAGGCTGCCTTTCTCCCTCCCTGGCACGGTGCCTCTGATGCTCGCGCCTCTCCACGCACCCGCCCCCTCCTGGGGCCTCTCCACGTACAGACACTGCCCCCACTGGGGCCTGTCCCTCCATGCTCATGCTCTTGCCCCAACTGGGGCCTGTCTCTCACTCCCCGCACTCTTGCCCCCCAACCAGGGCCTATGCCTCGTGCTTCTCACGCTCCCTGCCTGCACTCGGGCCTTGCTCGCGGTCGGGGCTCAGGCGGCCTTGACCTTACCTGGCCCCCAGACCCCTTCCTCGGGTCCTATGCCCACTGGGCTTCTCCCAGTTGGGGCTCAGGCAGCCTCAGCCTTACCTGGCCCCCCTGCAGCACCCTCCCTGGTGCTCAGAGCACCCCCACCTTACTGGGGAGCTCCTATTGAGGCCTCCTCCACCCCTACAGCCTTGCCCAATCCTCCAGTGACACCGCACTTCTCACACCACAACAACTAAAACCATAAGCACAAAACCCCTGGGCTATAACATAAATTCCCAGCCAACCTGGCTTGCTTCCACATACAGCCCCATCAAGGTTTTCTCAAACTCCTACCTCCTTGGCAGCCAGATGCTGTTTATAAAGGCTGGGCCCTGCCCCCTTCCGGTCAGCTGACCAGACTGGTTGTCACGGCAACCCGCACCTGTGCTGCCCTGGTGATTGGCAGCTGAGCTCGTATCACTGCCTCCAGTAGCAGGCACCTTAGTGCCCTGCTACAGTCACCAAATCCAAAACTGATTGAGATTCCCTGGGATGTTCTCAGGGAATGAACTAGTGTTACAGAGGAGACACCAGAATTCAGATTGCCTCCTCCCTGGTCAGTATTTTACTGCAAGGCTTACGGAGCCATAGTCCTCCTTGCCCTCACTTCCTGGTACAATGATTCC